AATTATTGTTTACAAAGCATAATTCAAGATTGTTGTAATATGTAAGCATTATAGTGGTATTATGCCTATCCAATGTTACTTGATGAACATTCAAATATATTTTTTCATCAAATTCTTTTTCAAAGGCTAGGGTTGGATAACAATTAAGTGGGAAAAGTTTTACAATGCTTCATACTTAATAAATTTCTTCACTTTCACTCAATATATTTGTTATTATTCATCCTTAGTCATTTCATTATACAATCTTTTAATGACATATATACAGGTAATGCAACTATTATTGCAAGGGAATAAGCATAATACCTCTAACATGCATTTGTACTTTATTTTGTATATATATTTCATCTTCAAAACAATTAAAGTAATGATTATAATAGCATTGATTTCATATTTGTTTGTCTTAATAATTAGCTTTGTTTTAAATATAACAGTGTAGTTTTTATTGTTGGTTTATCTTGTTTAAGATTTGTTTAAACCGATTACCAATCAGTCTATATAATAATTGGAAAGACAGAATATTGCTTGTTTTAGAGTGATATGCTTAATGAATATTCAGCAATAAGTATTTACTGTATAATTACCACTCTGACCTAGGGTAAACAAGATAAGCTGTCATAAAGATGTAAATTTTGTTTAATTTAAGAATTCTATTTATGTTGCTGTTAAAATGCGTATGATACAATTTTATTCCTGTTTTCTGTATATACACACAGTTTTAAGTAATTTATGCTTTGAAATGTCAAAAAAAATGCAGATACTTTTGTTAAATAAGTCAAATAATAAAAAGAATCAGTTGATAAAAAACAAGGCCTGATGAAAACCAAAGGCCTGATGACATTTTCTAAAACCATTTCATTAATAATTTTATCGATAACATTTTTTTAAAGTGTTGTATATATATTTACTTGTTTCAGTTCTATTTAAAAAAAAAACACTATTTTAAAAAAAAAAAAGAACTCTTCTAGGAAGGGATATTTAAGATTTGCAAGAATTAATGTAAGCACATATTTGGACATATACATGTATACTAATGTGAATTTATATTTTTTTTACCCAAGGTGTTAGAAATTTATCATTTTTTGTGGGACCAGACCTCTTAAATGATTGAAAAGTTCATTTGATGCCGGTAAAATTATTGTTTACAAAGCATAATTCAAGATTGTTGTAATATGTAAGCATTATAGTGGTATTATGCCTATCCAATGTTACTTGATGAACATTCAAATATTATTTTTCATCAAATTCTTTTTCAAAGGCTAGGGTTGGATAACAATTAAGTGGGAAAAGTTTTACAATGCTTCATACTTAATAAATTTCTTGACTTTCACTCAATATATTTGTTATTATTCATCCTTAGTCATTTCATTATACAATCTTTTAATGACATATATACAGGTAATGCAACTATTATTGCAAGGGAATAAGCATAATACCTCTAACATGCATTTGTACTTTATTTTGTATATATATTTCATCTTCAAAACAATTAAAGTAATGATTATAATAGCATTGATTTCATATTTGTTTGTCTTAATAATTAGCTTTGTTTTGAATATAACAGTGTAGTTTTTATTGTTGGTTTATCTTGTTTAAGATTTGTTTAAACCGATTACCAATCAGTCTATATAATAATTGGAAAGACAGAATATTGCTTGTTTTAGAGTGATATGCTTAATGAATATTCAGCAATAAGTATTTACTGTATAATTACCACTCTGACCTAGGGTAAACAAGATAAGCTGTCATAAAGATGTAAATTTTGTTTAATTTAAGAATTCTATTTATGTTGCTGTTAAAATGCGTATGATACAATTTTATTCCTGTTTTCTGTATATACACACAGTTTTAAGTAATTACTGCTTTGAAATGTCAAAAACTGCAGATACTTTTGTTAAATAAGTCAAATAATAAAAAGAATCAGTTGATAAAAAACAAGGCCTGATGAAAACCAAAGGCCTGATGACATTTTCTAAAACCATTTCATTAATAATTTTATCGATAACATTTTTTTAAAGTGTTGTATATATATATTTATTTGTTTCAGTTCTATAAAGTTTAGTTCTCTTGTTTTTTGTTAATAAAGTTATTTATTGAATGATTTGTTATTGTAATTTGAACCTACAAGCCAATCAGGTTTAGAAAACATTGCTGAACGACAGACTTCCAGGGTTGACTGAGGTTGATCCAGCTCGCAATTAGCTTAAAATAGTTTTCATTTACTATCAGTTCCGTCAGATCTGTAAACACAATGAATACCCCAGTACTTTCAGTACTTTGATTTTCAATCATTTATTCATACTTGGCAGAAAAACGGAAATTATGAATACCACTGAAGTAATATCTTTATAATTTGAATCATGTAGCTATAATCTAAGCAAAATAAATGTTAATATAAATGTAAAGTTCAATATAATCAAATATCTATTCAGTAAAAGTAAAGCTTGTAAACGGAAACGATGCTGATATGCGTTTTAAAGGGACTCTACTGTGGTTTTTTTTTGACATAAGGGGACTGGAAATAATTTAAGTTCGAGATTATTTTCCATTTGATGTAGATCTGGACCAATAACTTCCATCCAAAATTTTAGATCATTCGCTCATTAAATACATAATTCTCATTATGAAAATTTACACAAAATTGAAAAGCATTGCAATGCTTTTCACTCAAAATTCGCTAGGAATAACACAAAAACAACAATTTCTTTCTAATCTATATATGTATATTTCCTAATTATGTTTTGCATATCTTGCTATTTTAAGCGCCCCAATTGATCTATGTCAGAAATTCAAATTTTATGTTTTTATTCTTTCGGACCTCAGTGGAGTTCCTTTAATATTTCAGTGAAAGCATGTAGTATAAATGGAATTTCCTGAAATTTACCAATGATACTCCTATGCGTTATTTTAAATTTACAATAGATTTTGCCAAAAGAAAATTCTTCGTTTTTAAATATATATTAAGCATATTTTCAAACAAGCCCAAAGCACTGACGTGAAAAGTTATTTCTGTCATCTAAGATATAATTTAATCTCCATACGTTCACCTTCACAAAAGACAAATATTAAACAAGAGCACCGCTAGGCGGAGCATTATATGCCCGAAAGTACTCTTTCTTTTAGTGAGGAAGACATGGGAATTAAATACAGTATTACCTCCTTCAAAAAGCAATCCTCCTTTATAGCTGAAGAACATTCATGTATATATACAGTTGCTGTTTTCAAAGCACCACCATCAAGTTGTTATCTTGTAAGTAAAAATGCTACAACGGATGGACACCAAGATGTCAAGGGTATAAAGCTGTTAATCCTATAAAATTTTACAGCTGAAGTTCGATTATTACTTGAGTTATTGAGCGAAAACTGTTTCCAGTTTAAAGGTGATAGTAATCCCTTGATCTTTGACCTTGTGACCCCAAAATCAATAGCGGTCTTCTACCCAATATGAACAATCATCCTATGAAGTTTGAATACTGTGGGCCAAATGGAACTTAGGTTATGCTCCAGAAACCATTTTCAGTTTTAAGCTAATAGTGACCTTGACCTTTGACCTTGTGACCCCAAAATCAATAGGGGTCTTCTACCCAATATGGACAATCATCCTATGAAGTTTGAATACTGTGGGTCAAATGGAACTGAAGTTATGCTTCGGAAACCATTTTACGTTATTTAGCTTATAGTGACCTTGACCTTTAACCTTGTGACCCTAAAATCAATAGGGTTTTTTTCCCAATATTAATCATCCTATGAAGTTTGAATATTGTAGGCCAAATGGAACTTAAGTTATGCTCCGGAAACCATTTTCAGTATTTCGCTAATAGTGACCTTGACCTTTGACCTTGTGACCCCAAAATCAATAGGGGTCTTCTACCCAATATGGGCAATCACCCTATGAAGTTTGAATACTGTGGGCCAAATGGAACTTAAGTTATGGTCCAGAAACCATTTTCAGTATTAAGGTAATAGTGACCTTGACCTTTGACCTTGTGACCCCAAAATCAATAGGGGTCTTCTACTTAATATAGGCAATCATCCTATGAAGTTTGAATACTGTGAGTCAAATGGAACTTAAGTTATGCTCCGGAAACCATTTTCAGTATTAAGCTAATAGTGACCTTGACCTTTGACCTTGTGACCCCAAAATCAATAGGGGTCTTCTACCCAATATGGGCATTCATCCTATGAAGTTTGAATACTGTGGGTCAAATGGAACTTAAGTTATGCTCCGGAAACCATTTTCAGTATTTAGCTAATAGTGACCTTGACCTTTGACCTTGTGACCCCAAAATCAATAGGGGTCTTCTACCCAATATGGGCAATTCATCCTATGAAGTTTGAATACTGTGGGCCAAATGGAACTTAAGTTATGGTCCAGAAACCATTTTCAGTATTAAGGTAATAGTGACCTTGACCTTTGACCTTGTGACCCCAAAATCAATAGGGGTCTTCTACTTAATATAGGCAATCATCCTATGAAGTTTGAATACTGTGAGTCAAATGGAACTTAAGTTATGCTCCGGAAACCATTTTCAGTATTAAGCTAATAGTGACCTTGACCTTTGACCTTGTGACCCCAAAATCAATAGGGGTCTTCTACCCAATATGGGCATTCATCCTATGAAGTTTGAATACTGTGGGTCAAATGGAACTTAAGTTATGCTCCGGAAACCATTTTCAGTATTTAGCTAATAGTGACCTTGACCTTTGACCTTGCGACCCCAAAATCAATAGGGGTCTTCTACCCAATATGGGCAATCATCCTATGAAGTTTGAATACTGTGGGCCAAATGGAACTTAAGTTATGCTCCGGAAACCAAATTGCTAACAGACGGACGGACGGACGTACGGACGGACGGACGGACGGACGGACAGACGGACGCCAGGGGGTATAACATAATATGCCCGAAATTCTTTCGGGCATATAAAAAAACAGAAACACCAACACACACACACGGATATCACCGATATTTCACGATGATTGCCGAATAGTTTTAATAACTTACTTCGGTCATCGCCAACAACAGCTCCTAGGAATTTCAAGACGTTTGGATGGCTACCAACAACTGTACCGGTGAAGTTGATCTTGGCCTTCATCAACATTTCATCATTTGGTGTGAATTTATCTATAAATACAGAGGATGTGTCAATCCACATTTACACTGGTGTGAACTTTTCTATAATTACAGACGATAATGTGTCAATCTACATTGACACTGGTGTGAACTTTTCTATAATTACAGATGATAACATGACAATCTACATTCACACTGGTGTGAACTTATCTATGATTACGGACAATAATGTGACAATCTATATTCATATTGCAACCTTTGCAGAGCCCCCCTCTGTACAACAATAATCTCAATAACAACCATATCAATACTTCCAATAGCAACAGCTCTAAACAACAGACAAATTTGTTGCCTTCAAAAGGATGGTAATCTATAGAAGTTTGACACATATCAAAAAATGTATCAGACATATTGCAAATTAAAAATGGGGTGGGGGAGGGGGTTTGACAATCGTCAAGATGTTTCCAAGATTCAAGAAGATGTGTGACAGTTTCGTACAGATTGTATCCATGTGACTACCCTAGCTTTCTATCAATGAAATGTACCTCCATGTATCAACATATTCAATTTCATAGATTAATGCGCCACAAAAATAGTGCTACATGTACGAATGATGCAACATTAGGATACTAAGACGTGGAATAGGCAACTTTTTTACAATGCATGTACAGCGACACCTAAATGGGTTGATCGTTAATAGTTAACATGTAAAAAATCATAAATGCCACACCAGCAAACCGTTAAAAGGCATTTTTTACCATTTATATGCTTTTTTTATATACTAGTAAATTAATTAGTGCTGTAACAAACCTTTTAATGTTTTGGCGACAACTGTGTTTCCTCCTCGGCCTGTCCTCCATGTGGCTTTGTAGATTCTCGCAAAATGGCCTTCCTTAATAACACAATCAAACGAGATATCGTTTCTATCAATATGTTCTACTTCCGGCATATTAATGTCCATCCCTCCATAAAGATACAGCTCCTCTTGCTCACCCATTGTCTTACGGTTCTAATGAATGAAAATACAATTAAATAAATAGATAGGTCTTTTCTATTAAGACATGATCAATTTCTACTGAGTGGTATGAAATTAGATAATTTTCATACCACTACAATAAAACAAATCATGTGCATACGTATTTATACAAAAACTTGAATTTTCTATTTATTATATACTTTTTTGGTAGTTAAATATTCGAAAGAATTTTCCTTAAATTTTGTGTATTGGCTGAATTTAGAAGAAAGTAGTCCGGCAAAATACCAGTGAAAAGAGGGAAAATATGTTTCAATGCAGTGAAAAATATTTTTTTTAATGTGAAAATACAGAAAATGAAAAAAAAATGAATTTTTATTTCATTAATATTTCTCAATATTTTATTGAAAAGTATAAAATAAATGAGCCGCGTCACGACAAAACCAACATAATGGGTTTGCGACCAGCATGGATCCAGACCAGCCTGCGCATCCACGCAGTCTGATCAGGATCCATGCTGTTCGCTATCAGTTTCTTTACTTGTTATAGGGTCTGTAAGCAAACAGCATGGATCCTGATCAGAATGCGCGGATGCGCAGGCTGGTCTGGATCCATACTCTTCGCAAACACATTATGCTGGTTTTGTCATGACGCGGCTCAAATTAAAATTCATGTTTTATAATCTTTTTTTTTTCCTTGTCAAAACGTTAAAATTGAAATAGAAAATGAGGAATGATAGATCAGTTTAAATGCCTGCCAGTGGATTCTACAAATAACCTGAAAGTTATAAAGAAGAGAGTTTCTAAAAAAGCTTCCTACTCAATTCCTAAGATGTATTATTTGTCAAATATCATGTAAATGTAAAGTTTATACATAAATTATTGTTTAAACTCAAAAACCTGAAAAAAAAACATTCTAAGAAAATAAGGGAAATCTTTTGGATGTCATGAAAACAATGGCAGAAAGTGAAAAAAACAGATACAGATTGATTGAGTATAATTCATGCAACATTTGTCACGCTGCCTAGCGTGAATTTTTCAATTAATTGCAGACGGTACATTATATAATGGATAACGATGTAACGTCATACAAGTAGCCACTTACGTCATATGAAGTGCCAAATTTCTCAGCGTCGTATGCCTTATTCGAGATAGCGTTTGGATGGCGATGGTCGGTCGTGTCCGACTCCCCATGTAAGCTTTGTCTGTATTTCCTTGAAACTGCCCTTTTTACCCGGCGGGCTCTTTCTTGAGGTTGGCAATAACCTCTCCGAACGAGAAATATAAAGATTATAATCACCAAGGCAACAAAACCTAGTACACCTGAAAATAATACAAAAAACTTTCAGATCTACTGGGTTATATAATAATATTGCAATAAGTATACTGTAATTAAAAAGATACAAAATGTTAATGCTACTTTCTTCAATCAGAATTTAGATACGCTTTCTAGCAACATGCCTCCAGATTCATGCTAATTTTCATGAATATTTTTAAGATGTATGAATAAGTAAAATATTGTCAAGGGAAAAAAACCATTTAACACATTACAGACGGCACTTGCAAACTACAAAAATTACCAAACATAAGTCAGAATATGCAAAATAGCCCTTTCTGCGTTAGTCAAACAGCAGAAATATGGTGATGAAAACTGCAATATCAGTCATAAAGTGCACAAAACACATAGATTCTAAATCATTTCTTGAACTGTGTAAATTTTCACTATCTTTAAATTCTAGTAGTATGATTTTTTCTGAAAAATTTTGGCTCATCTAGAGGCATGCAGCCTTTATACATAAGTTTCCTGGTGTCAATGCCTTTAGTACCGTGAACTAAGATATGCACAGACTAGTACAAAATCTAAAATCTGTTCGAAAACATTTTCATGCTATTTATACATATGTATTTTTACATGCACCTGATTTCAATAATGCACAAAGAGAACATTGTGTTCTTACTGAACCATAATTTGGTTGACACAATACTTTATATATTTTACACTATAACATGTCACACTGTATAATATGTCACACTATAATATGTCACACTATAACGTGTCACAATATTTGATGCTACACTATGTCAGACTATAAGATGTCACCCTGCAAGATGCCAACCTATCTAATATGTCACACTGTTATATGCCACACTTTAAGATGCTACACTATATGTCACACTAAAACATGATCACACTATAAAATGACACATTACCAGATGTGTCACATTATAAAATATGTCGCACTAAAAGATGTCACATTTAAAGATGCTACACTATATTAGATGTCACACTATAATATGTGTCACAATATAAGATGGCACATTACCAGATGTGTCACATTATAAAAATGTCACACTAAAAGATGTCACTCTTTAAGATGCTACAATATATGTCACACTAAAACATGATCTCACTATAAAATGACACATTATCAGATGTGTCACATTATAAAATATGTCACACTAAAAGATGTCACTCTTTAAGATGCTACAATATATGTCACACTAAAACATGATCACACTATAAAATGACACATTATCAGATGTGTCACATTATAAAATATGTCACACTAAAAGATGTCACACTTTAAGATGCTACACTATATGTCACACTAAAACATGATCACACTATAAAATGACACATTATCAGATGTGTCACATTATAAAATATGTCGCACTAAAAGATGTCACATTTAAAGATGCTACACTATATTAGATGTCACACTATAATATGTGTCACAATATAAGATGGCACATTACCAGATGTGTCACATTATAAAAATGTCACATTATAAAATGTGTCACATTTTAAGATGTCACACTTTAAGTTGTCACATGATAATATGTCACATTTTAAGTTGTCACACTATAAGATGTCACACTCTAAGATTACACACTAAAAGATGTCACACTTAAAGTTGTCACACTATAAGAAGTCACACTTTAATATGTAACAAAATAATATGTCACACTTTAAAATGCCACACTGAGATGTCACATACCCTATAAGATGAGCTACATTATAATATTGCATAGTATAACGTGATACACATTGAGATGTCACACTTTAAGATGTCACACTATAAGATGTCACACTTTTTGGATGTCACACTATAAGATGTCACACTGTAAGATGTCACAATGTAAGATGTCACACATTAAGATGTCACACTATAAGATGTCACACTATAAGATGTCACACTTTAATATGTCACAATATAAGATGTCACACTATAAGATGTCACACTATAATATGTCACACTATAAGATGTCACACTATAAGATGTCACAATTTAAGATGTCACACTATAAAAGGGATATTACCATACCTACAGCTATGCCGACCAAAACTTCAACACTCGGACCAGTGTCTGGCTTTTTTGCTGAAATAAAGATGCATGTTTATCAAATAATGCATGATTTCCTACTCACCATCAAACAACTATGTCCTTAGACATTTAAATAATTAGACCCCTATTGGAAATTTTAGTAATTTTTCCTTCTTAGCTTTTGTAAAAGAAAAAAAAAACACGTTTCCATTTAGGGGCCTAAATATACCTTATTTCCATGAATAACTGATAAATGCATTTAAGATCTGTTGTTATGTAACAGCCTTTATGGAAAAAATATGACAACTGTTTTTCAAATAACACAAGAAAAAATGTGTTCCTACATAATGTATAATTGCAAATATGTTATGTTTGTTTATATCATATAATACAATACAATATAGTCTATATCTTAACTTAGAGTTTAAAAAAAACGAAAACCGATATACTTTATCTTGAATATATATTTGTTTATTAAACCCCAAGTGTATGAAAACAGGTATTGCTTTTGCATGATTACAGGCATTTTTTGTTAACACTGACATGTTAACATTGATTGTTTGTGTCAGGTTTTACGTCATTCCTTAACAGTGCAAAGGTCATATGGCGACTTTCCGGCTATCTTGTTGGCGTGCTCTACCACGTTTTATTTCTGTACAACCATTGACCTTCCTTGAGCTGGCTAGGTAGCCTCCTCACATAAATATCCAAAGTGTTCGAACCCGGACAACAGACTGTGTTTAACTTTGGTTGTATTTGCTTATATACTTACACGTCTTCGCCGTAATTTCCATAGGTGTGTTTTTCTTATCACCTATTTGTGATGTGAACTCAAGTGAATATTCCGTATCAGCGTCTAGGTTGGCCACGTCAAAATATGCCTTTGAACCAGGAATAACATGGGTAACTAATTTAATATCCCCGTTTGACGACTGGAAAATAATGTTTAGATGTTCTCAATAATTATAAGACCAGCAGCAACAGTAAGAGCAAAGTGGGCGTAGTCAGCCCATTGAAACAATAGTTAGAATCGTCAGGAAAATATTATCTAACTCGTCATATTTAATAAAGTATAAATGGCAATGAAACTCCTCCTATTTTAAGGTATGAATAATGAAACCCCTCCATTGAAATTGTATGTATATTTAACTCCTCCTTACCATTTGCATGAATATGAAACTCTGCCTTATAAATTGTTTTCTTGTCTAATTGTATGAATATGAAACTCCTCCTATTTAAGAGTAAAAGCATTAAATCCCTCCTATCCTAGGATATGTATATCAAACTCCTCCTATTTAGCTAATGGTATGAACAATAAACACCCATTCTTACCTTCTTGAACAGCACTAAAATAATTGAAGTTTGTATAGCATAGCAGGACAATTTTGTCGGAATGTCCCAAACTATTCGGAAACTTCCGGTTTTCACGTTTTCCACTCGTGCAGACTCAGGTCCATTATCTATGAAAACAAAACAAACAAACATATTCAAAATAAGAAATGAAAAGAATAAAAAATATTAATCATTAAGTCTCTGTAAAGGGTATATGGCTTGAGCAAAACACACTTTTTAAGATACACATCCAATTCCTTTTGTTAAATGTGTCTAATTTAAGCAATTTCTTTGATAACTTATTTCCAAAAAGCGAAACATTCCAGACATAGCAGAAAATAAATTTTTGCGCATCAAATATGATGCTTGACCTGACTGTATGATGTATCAAATGAGATCATTTTGGATTTTTCAACGGTCAACCCCCCAAGAATTGGGGTCAACAGACACCTTGAAATTCAGTCTGTCAGAGTCACTGACTATTACAATATTTCTGAAAAATGCAATTGAAAGAAAAAACAAGAGCACCGCTACATTCTATGCCCGAAAGTGATTTTTTTTAAGTAACTGGATGAAGCATTTGTAAGACATGGGAATTAAATTTTTCTACTACAATGGATGGACAGAAAGACGCCAGGGATATAACATGATATAAGCAAATTTTTAGGGCATATAATTAATGTAATTAATATAAGCTGTAGGTTGATTAATACTTAAGTAATGCAGCAAAAACCGTTTTCAGTAACCTTGACCTTGTGACCCAAAAATTAATAGGGGTCTTCTACTCAATATTGACAATCATCCAATGATATTTGAACACTGTGGGCCAAATGGAACTTAAGTTATGCTCCAGAAACTACAATTTTCAGTGTAAAGTTTATTGTGACCCTGACCTTTGACCTTGTGACCCCTAAATCAATAGGGGTCTTCTACCCAATATGGAAAATCAACTTATGAAGTTTGAATATTGTTGGTTAAATGGAACATAAGTTATGCTCCGGAAACTGTTTTGCAGTTTAAAGGTAATAGTGACCTTGACCTTTGACCTTGTGACCCCAAAATTAATAGGTGTCTTCTACCCAATATGGACAAACATCCTATGAAATTTGAATATTGTAGGCCAAATGGAACTTAAGTTATGCTCCAGAAACTGTTTTCAGTGTCAAGGAAATGGTGACCTTGGCCTTTTACATTGTGACCCCAAAATCAATAGGAGTCTTCTACCAAATATGGACAATCATCCTATGAAGTTTGAATAGTGTAGGCCAAATGGAACTTAAGTTATGCTAAGGAAACTGTTTTGCAGTTTAAAGGTGATAGTGACCTTGACCTTTGTCCTTGTGACCCTAATATCAATAGGAGTCTTTTACCCAATATGGACAATTATCCTATGATGTTTTAATATTGTGGGCCAAGTGGATCTTAAGTTATGCTCCGGAAACTGTTTTCAGTGTCAAGGTAATAGTGACCTTGACCTTTTACATTGTGATCCCAAAATCAATAGGTGTCTTTTACCCAATATGGACAAACATCCTATGAAGTTTGAATATTGTAAGCCAAATGGAACTTAAGTTATGCTCTTGGAACTGTTTTCAGTTTTAAGGTAATAGTGACCTTGACCTTTCACCTTGTGACTCCAAAATCAATAGGGGTATTCTACCCAATATGGACAATCATCCTATGAAGTTTGAATATTGTGGGCCAAATGGAACATAAGTTATGCTCCGGAAATTGTTTTCAGTTTTAAGGTAATAGTGACCTTGACCTTTTACCTTGTGAGCCCAAAATAAATAGGGGTCTTCTACCCAATATGGACAATCATCCTATGAAGTTTGGATATTGTGGGCCGAATGAAACTGAGGTTATGCTCCTGAAACTAAATTGCTAAGGAACGGACGGACAGATGTCCGACCTAATAGGGATAAAGGGCCATTTCTGTTGTTATTTACTTTTGTTTAATAGAGGGCCATGGCCCCTTATTCTATTGTTACGGAATGAATTCTATTGATCTCTTTAGTTCTGTTTACAGTTAGCAGGCCCCCTATCCCTATTCGGACGGACAGACAGACGGACGGATGCCAGGGGGTATAACATAATATGCCCAAAATTGTTTCAGGCATATAAAAACTAAATAAAAAGCGAAAACAAACTAGAAATGTGTCCATAGGACACGGATGCCCCCACACGCCACTGTTCTGTCAATCTTATGACTCTAGGTCAAATATTTTTTGGACTACATGTGCCACAAGTTGAAAACTAAAAATCAACAAAGGGCCATAATTCTCTTAAATTTGGTCGTTGCGTTCACAAAATTTCTACATAGTATATAATGAAAAAATCAACAAAGGGCCATAATTCTATTCCGTTGCAACAAAAAAATCTTCCTTTACTGCCATCTACACATTAAGGTTGTTCATCCCTGGAAGTTTAAGCAAAATCTGCAATCCGGTTTAAGAGGAGTTGCATTCACAAAATTTCTACATAGTATCTAGTGAAAAAATCAACAAAGGGCCATGAATCTGTTAAATTTGGTCGCAGCGAAAATTCCTTCCTTTACAACCATCTACACATTAAGGTTGTTAATCCCTGTAAGTTTAAGCAAAATCTGCCATCCGGTTTAAGAGAAGTTGCGTTCACAAGATTTCGGGACGGATGGACGGACTGACGGACGGACAAGTGCAACGCTATATGCTCCCACATTGTGGGGGCATAAAAACAAAAAAAAACTTACAGCTTATAAGACCATCTAAAGCAGTTATTGCTGGAATCTGAAAAGATAAGATAGTGGCATTTATTGATATTTTCTATAGTAAATATATTACACAAAGAAACAACGTGACTGAGACTCGAACCCCGGTTAAATAGCACTCCATAATAAGTTGTCGACTTTTCAGCTTTACTCTGGTCATGAACTAGTTTCTCAATCTTCACGTGAGGTACTTTACTCTCCCTAATGGCAGCCCAGATTATCGTGACATGGAATTATACCGGCCTCCCACGTATTCTTAATTTCTTATGGAATTATTACCCAAATTATCACTAAATTATCAATGTTTACGTATTTTATCAATTTTTTCTCTTTTTTATGGTTTTACAGGTACATGTATGTGATAAAATTACATTTTCGTTTATGTATCGACTGAGGGAGCTGAATAAAGCTAAACATGTTTTGATACTTAAATTTGTGTTGGTTTTTGACCCAATTGTCCTATAAAATTACACAAAGTTACAATGTGACTCAGGCTTAAACCCTGTTTAATTCAAAAAGTGCTCCTTAATTAATAAGTTTCGCTGACGGCAGGCCTATCTTATAACCATAAGAAAAATAACTTTAAACAAGTCCCTTAGTCTTTCAATTATCATTCAAGTCAAGTTAAGAAGAGAAAACATGTTTATCACATATTATCATGTTGCTTTTCCAACTCAGTAAAACAAAATGATATCGTTCATCTCATATTTTGACCCGATGTCACACACGTTTTACAAATAGGTAAAGACAAAAAAAATGTGTTACACTATATTAAGCCCTCGATGAAAAAAAAAAATTTTTGATGGTTAACTGTTCGTATTTTAGGTATTTGATTATATATTACTATAGCTTTAAAATTACATTTTATTGAACGAGTTAAATAATAACATATATAATATTGCTCACGTCATTTCATACATTAAAGAACATAAAGATGTATAAAATATTTTAACAGAACAAATAATGTTGTTTCTATAATATTATGATAGGTTCTCGGAAGATTTGTAACATAGAATGTTTCTGTTATTTAACAGACATGAAAACTGTGCGTAAACAGAATGAAACGTTTGGGAACAAAAAACGATGCTGCTATTTTAAGTAGGTTATTTTCTAACCCTTTAGCAATGATTTAATGCATGCGGCATTCACACAAACATATTTCTTTCATACAAGCATTTTGGAATTATCATTTTCCAAAATTTCATGCAAAATTTTTTTTAAGCTACAGGCAACAGAGATATAGTTTTATACAATTTAACATGTAATCTTCATTGATTCAATAATTTATATACATGTATACTTATACCTCAAATCTGACGCTGCTGGGGAGCATGGCTTGGTTGTAGGCAATAACATCTATTGTGGCACTAGCATATGGTAGTAACACCTGGTTTGGTACCGTCAGCCAACAATTGTCTATGTTCACAGTTTGTTTCTTTAAAAAGCAGGTTGTCTCGTCTTTTGACCTCACGCACTCACTATCTCTGTTCGGGTGTCTTTTCTGAAGGGGAAGTAAATCTTTAGATATTATAACATCAACAACGTTTATTGCTTACTTCCTTTGATTTAAATTCATCTTGAAAATCAAAAATTTTGACATAAAAACAATATTGCTATGTAATTTTGAAGATGAAAACAAAGAAAATAATTGCATTTCGTTTTTGCCACGGACGAACCCTCAGACGCGTTCAGAGCTATGTCATCTACACATGGGATTTTATCGGCTACAATCAAGCAAGTGTCCTCAGCCGAATAACAGCCTAAGAAATAGTACATGAATTTGATCCTATGAAACTCCCATACTTTGTCGGGATATCTTAAAAACTTCCATATTTAGCCTTTTCAATTTCAAATTAAGCTATCAAAGTTAAAATATGAACGTATTTGATTGATAAAAACGCTGCAGCCCAGTAGTATTATTGTGCAATATGCAAATAACTGCTGAAACAATTTACCGCTATCGAAAAAGTAGGACAGCAAATTATGCTATAATTAAGGAAAACTTAAGCTCAATAATTCCTAGAAATTATAAGTAGGAAATAAATATTTCTCCATCAAACAAAACATTTTTATTAACAGATCAAATGTTTTTCGTGACTCAGCAATTCTAGAATATCTCGCGTATTAATTACATAATTTTCTAGGTCACGATATGAGTTAAGCTGCTATCAGCTAATGTGATTTGTGATAGATTATAATAGATAACACTATTCTAAAAATAGATTTTACCCAATCACCACTACATAACCTGTGCTGACTTTCGGAGTACACATTATACATATAATAAATCACTTTGTTTACATGCAATATTTTAAGAAGTTTTATACAATTGTAAGAAACAAACAAATTGAAAATGGAATTTAGTGTGAAATTGAAAGGGACAACTAAACACTGTAGTGCTTAAGTGACATTTAAATTAAACTTAAAACGATGTGCTCTGGCCCTTGTAAATGAAAAATAGTAAGTAAGTAAGTAACGACTTTATTTAATGAGGCTAACACATTCGGTTTCCCGATCTTCCATGCGGGCCTCAGCATATACATAGCATATACATAACAATATATACATTACACATTTTAAATAACATATATACACAAATAGAAAAAAAAAACAACTAAAATCAAACAAAAAAACAAAACAAAAAAAACAAAAAAACAAACAAACATCAAGAAACCACATTTTGTAACCTGGGCATGAAAAATACATTTTTTACAAGTAAGATTAAAACAATATTGTAAAAACAAAACATTATACATTCTATTCTTGTGTGGCATTATCATTACAACAAAATGTACACTCATTTAATTAGAAAATTGCCACTTAATATATGTGGCTTGAAATTTCTTCAAAGTATCTGAATTTCGAATATAAATTGGGATGTCATTCCATATTTTAGGACCAGAATAGTCAAATGATTTCCTAAAGTACTCAGTTGTTGGTTTCGGTATGACTAGTTTCTCATTTTGAACAGATCTTAAGTTGAAGTTGTGTTTGTCATTTATCATTTGGAATTTATTTTTCATATAATTAGGAAAAGATGGCTCATTAATAGATTTATACATGAGAATAGCTTTTTTGTACATAATTCTTTGATCAAAGGACATCCAATTAAGCTCTTTAAATAGTTCATTTGATGGGGAATCAAAACTTTTATCCAAGATTATTCTAGCAGCTCTTTTTTGAAATTTGATAATTTGTGAAAGTAATTCACTACTACAGTTTCCCCATATAGTGCAACAGTAGTCTAAATGAGGCAGAATATATGCATTGAAAAAGAGTTTTCTAGAATGAAGATCAAGATATTGTTTAATTCTAAGAAGCAGGTAGAGTTGTGAATTGCATTTTCCAATAGTTTTTTGAATTTGAGTTTTCCATTTGAGATTGTTGTCAACAAAGACACCTAGTACTTTTTCTGTGTCTGTAAATTCTATTTCTTTGTTATGAAGATACAGTGTAGGTGTAGCATTATTTTCTAATTTTGTATTCCTAATTGACAGAGTCATAGCTTTTGTTTTAAGTGCATTTAGTATCATTGAGTTTTGGATGCACCATGTGTTAACATTATCAATATCTGTTTGAAGATTTTCATTGACTTCTTGTACAGTATTTCCTATAGAAGTTAACGAAGTGTCATCTGCAAAAATATTAGCATTAGATCTTTTTATATGCAGGTGTATGTCATTTATATATATTAAGAAAAGTAAGGGTCCCAGGACTGAGCCCTGGGGTACTCCTGAGACAACGTCAGCAGATTTAGATAAAAGACCCGACACACTTACTTTTTGTGACCTGTCTGACAGATATGATTTAATCCAAGTAATGGCCTGTGATGAGAGATGATAGAAAGATAGTTTTTCAAGAAGAACATTGTGGTTTACTAAATCAAAGGCCTTTGATAAATCTAGAAAAACAGTTCCAACAAGTTTTCCATTGCTTAGTGCATTTATCCAGTTATCAGTTACATTTATAAGTGCCGTCTCGCATGAATGGTGTGACCTGAAGCCTGATTGAGCAGTGTAAAGTAAATTATTTCTTTCTAAAAAGAGTTTTAAGTGGTCTGATACATGTTTTTCAAATATTTTAGAGATAAGTGGGAGTACTGAAATTGGTCTGTAATTGTTTTTGTCTGTCTTTGTACCTTTTTGTAGATTGGTGTTACCTTTGATTGTTTTAAAAGAGTTGGAAATTTTCCATTTTTGATACTTAGATTTATTATGGCACAAAGTGGCTCATCTATGACATCTGCAGCTGTTTTTAGAAATTTGGCACCAATTTCGTCTAAGCCAGTTGCTTTTGTAATATCAAGACAGTTAAGCTTTTGTTTTACATAACTTTGTTCAACAAAGGGTATTTCAAATTTATCTGATTCTTTAGTATTTTTTGATAGATTTTGTAATGCAGTCTTCATTTCATGTGATAATTCTGTTATATTTTCAGCTTTTTTAAATACATTTGCAAAGAATGTATTAAACGTTTCTGCTGTTAGCTTTGGATCAGTAATTGGTATGCCATTCTCAGTGTGTATATATGATGTCTGTTGAAAATCAGATTTGCCAGACAAACTTTTCAAGTTTTTCCAAAGTTTTTTTGGATTTTTCTTATTTGAGTTGATCTCCTGATTAAAGAATTCTGTTTTTGCTGTATGAGTTAGTTTTTTAACTTGTGATTTCCAGTATTTGAAATCTTCAACATTATGCTTCTTTTTTGCATGGTCCCTATTACGCATTGCATTTGCTATATCTTCATTAAACCAATCAGCTTGATTTTTATGTTTTACACGTTTTTGTTTGTATGGGGCATGTTCGTTAAGAGTTTCTAAAAATAATTTGTTAAAAGTATCTAAAGCATCATCTGGATCATTAAACATATTTATAATAGACCATGGTTGCTTTGAAAGGTCACATAAGAATTTGTCAGCATTAAAGTTCTTCAGGTGCCTGTATTTAATTGTAACATGCAATGGACCCTTCTTGATATTTTTTTGGTTTGCCAGTTTTGTGAAAAATATAGGATAATGGTCACTAACAGAAAGTATAGGGACTGCAGTGTATGATATATTTTGTGGTTGGTTACTGTAAATATGATCAATAATAGTGGAAGAAACTGGTGTTTCTCTTGTTGGTTGTGTTATAAGTTGTGATAAATTAAAGGAATTGATGATATTATTCCTTGCGGAATTACTTGAGCCTGTAGGTCCAAAATTGTAATTAAAATCTCCGAAAAGAATTACTTCTTTGTTTCCTATAAATGTTTTCTCTAGAACTTCTTCAATTTTTTCTTTTGGTCTATAGATGTAACCTACCAAAAAGGATTTCTGGTTATCAAGTTTCGTTTCAAGCTATATTGATTCAATGTCATCAGATTGTAGGTCAGACCTTAACTCACAAGGAAGTGTACACTTAACAAACAAAATAATTCCACCACCATTTGATTTCCTATCACGTCTTAACATCTGATAATTATTTAAAGATATTTCAGAGTCATAAAAACATCACTTAGAAAAGTTTCTTGTAGTCCCAATACATCAATGTCTGGATATTTATCTATTAGATATTAAATTCCGTTAAATTTTGGATACAGATAATGAATGTTTAAATGTAAAAAGTTTATTCCTTTTTTGTTAAATGTTATTTCGTCGAAACTGGAATTCTGATCAATATTAGCATTTTTTTCCATAGAATGATGATTTGTAGATAATGTTTCAGTATTGTTTATTGATTCAACCAGGTTATCATTTAGTACCAGTGTGGTAACATCCATGTTGTCCCTGGCCAGGAATTCCATGGTCCCTGATACCCTCTGTTCTTCTGATGATGATGTTGAGGTCTCCGAGCATTTAATTGCCTGCTTTTGGCATTCCGAAAATTTATGTGCTCCTTGGAAGGCCCATTTATTTGATCTCTAGAAGTGGTGCTAGAGATGCCAAGGATTTTTCTAATTCCTGCATTTAGTTGTCGTCCAAGTACAGCTGAACCTTCTTTATTTAGCCTAATTTCATCATAGAAGAGACTTTGGTTAACCTTATCATTTATCATAAAAGCACTGGTGTTATCAATAAAGATGAACTCTTTATTCTTGCAAAGTTCTTCAAGAAGACTATTTGCTTCAAGGATATTTGTCCTAGACAATAGATCTTTTCTTTTGGGCAGTATAGATGATACAGCAATCTTTGCTTTAGGGTTCATTGATTGTAGCAAAGAAAAGAGTTCATTAAAGTCTTCACATACAGACTGTGGTGTGTTGGCATTTGAAATGTTGTCAATGCCTGTATGCAGGATGATAACATCTGCTTCTTTTGTCAACTTTTGTTGTGATGTATTATCAGTTATTACTTTGTTGATGTCTTTGATGGATGCTTCATTTGTTGATTTGATGTTGACATTTACCAGATGTGAATTCATTTTCTTTCTTATAAGTCCTTTTGTAGCTGAATCGCCCAAGATGAGTACTTCGTATTTCTTTGGCTGACTTACATTTCTTTCAGAAGGTGAATTTTTCTCA